TGATGAGAATACTGGCACAACTCAAACATGAACAAGAGTGTGAAATCTCCCGTGTGCACAGATGGCATGCATTTTGTCACCACAGCTTGTTAGTAATACAAACCCACACACAAATACACATGCATGTGCAAGTACACTCACACACACATAAGGCTTGACCCTTGGCATAAGACCACCCATATTGTCCGGGCAAAATGCTGTATGCGGCACAACTGTCATCGCTACATGTGGCCACTTAAGTGTGAAAGTTAGTGTACTGTATGCTTGATGGAGCACAGTTACGGTTAGTTACACACCAGAATACATAAACATAAGACAAAATTTGCAAATATACACAAACTGTGCACTCATTACTATACAAACACACATTCCCCAAAGCTTTTTAACTGAGGTATAGAAATGGTGGGAAATATGTTCACAGTGCTTTGCTCATTAGTCCTCAGTAAATCCGAAGGCAGTCAGGGGTTTAAAGGTTCAAAGCAGACTCTTTCCTAGGTCTGGAAGAATTAGATCCAAAAAACCTGATGTGTAATTGAGTAGTTTCTGTTGCTGTGCTGAGCATTTATTACAGAGTGCAATTTTAATAGGTCAGACCTAGCAGACTTCAGTGCTCCTATATATGTTTACAGTTATACTTTAAAAGGGCTGAACCCAAGGACAGTAAGGCTTGTCAACCTGCTTCCTAAAAAAGTGACATATACACCTAATTTGAATTAGGAAATAAGTTTTGTAAGAAATATAATGCGGCACAGATTCTGTTTTTATTGACATAATGAGAAAATATTCATCATAAACTTATCTACAAAATACTAATTGTGAATTTGAACTATTTATTTCCCACTAACAGCTTCTGACAGCTATTGGTATGATTAGCATTTTCATGGCCATGTTGAGCACCAGTCCAGTCCAGTGTTTAGTGCATGCAGTGTGTGGCATCAAGTGGTGTAGTTGCTGGTTGAAACTCCCTCTTTACATCGCCCCCTTCCAAGTGCGAAGGAGTTGGTTTGGTGTTTGATTTGTCCATTCTAACCTCCTGTAGAAACATGCCATTGATGATTTGGCATTCAACATGGAAGCCTCCACGGAAGGCGACCTACGGCATCTGTGAATAAAAACAGCTCCTTCTTAGGTAACAATTACTCAACTATTCTTTTTTTCAGGTGATTATAGAATAATGAAAAGATAAGAAAGATATCTATGATCATCATATTCCATTTCTGCCAGTAAATCCTCCTAAATGTTAAACAATAGACACACTGGAAGAAAGAGAAAGAATGAGGTCTTGGTTAAAGTTATTATATTTTTTATTAACCATGGATCAAATAACTACTTGTATATATAAGGGACCGCTTGCAGTAATGAATCCACAAAGTATCTCTGTGCAGAGTCTTGTAGTGCATTCAGCTCATTGTTGTGGTTTTCCACAACTTTTTGGTTTAGTCTCTCTCATCAGTCAATCTACCAATAGTAGCAGCAGGCAGCTGTTTTCTGCAGCAAAGCTCTAAAACACCCGTATATTACCTGCCCGGTATCAACAAGCAGACAGACAGAGTTAGGAACTAGCTAACATTGAAGCATTTAGCCACTAAAGAGCCAGCTGTTTCCCTCAGGAGTTGGTTGCGACTAAAACAGAGCTAAAAACAGAGTAAAAGTTGAATTTGCATTTATCACATGGCCCAGAACACGACTCCAAATAAATATTAATGTTGCTGAGTGCCTGCTGGATGTGTAAATAAGCAACTGTTTGCTAACAAGGTGATACAATGTCAATGTTGGGTTTACAGCTTGTTTCAGTTAATGCAGGTGTAAATATTGAAAATATCGTCGACATAACAAGACGACATTTTTAATATTTAATTAAAACTACAGTCTTACCCTAACCTTCCTGCATTGGACAAACATGTTGCCACACAATGTAATCCAGGCAGTATTTACATTTCCTCCAAAATGCTTTGGCAATGGAAACTAGTGAACTTGTAAATGTCCTGCAGAAAGCTGGATTGTGATCTAGTTCTGTGCACAGTACAAAGATTGAGTTTGGCTTTTGGTGTGGTGTCTCTATGTGGTACACACAGCTGTGTGTTAGAATGCACAAGCCCTTATGAGAACAGTACATTAAAAGAAAATGCTAATTAAGGAGTCATTTTGTTAGAGAGCAGGTGTTTGAATTGCTGACAAGGACACAATTGTAAACTAAACCAGTGCACTGAGAATCGCAGAGGGGGACATCTGAGTTCTTTTTACTTTGCCTTTTTATTGCACCATAATTAAAATGAATTGTCTTTATTGCTGTTGTTTTTCTCTCTCAGTCCTATTCTTTATGGTTCTATTGATTTATTATTGGCTGTTATTCCAAACCACACCGGGCTTGTAATAGTTAGCTCTGAGATTGCTCCCAGCTACAATGAAAACGTGAGACCTAGGCTTTATTTCTGTTTTGCTCCCCTGCCAGTGTGATGAATCTGAATGGAAAATTTTGTAATGGAACAGTAAAAAAAGGAGTGTGTTCAAGAAACTGTCGGTATGTGTCATCTTGCATTAAATTTGAAAGGGCTCACAGTAATTGCTTGAGTGTGGGGAGGTCCTAGGCTGTGAAAATGTTATTACTGCTTTGGTTCTCTTGACAGTTAGGGATTAATCAGGATTTTATATCTTAAATGAGACTTTAACCATTTGGTGGATTGCAGAACTTAACGGGGGAACCAAACCAAGTGTGTCGGGTTTGAGATGAAACTTCTCGTTGCAATGGAATAATCAAAACTAAAAGCTTTAATACTGTAGTAGCAATGATTCCCCCCCCCCCCACCCCGCCTTTTTTTTTTTTTGCAGTTTGCAGGCCATTTTCAAGTCAAGTATTCAACAACATCTAAACGCAGCTCTCTGAATAGATATTTCATGCCACAGACACATGGTTCAAATTATTTTACATGCATTAAAGGTCCGCCGTATAGGAGGCATCTAGCGGTGTAGTTGCAGATTGTAACTCCATCGCTTTACCTTACCGTTCCAAGTGCAAAGGAAAAATTACAATGGCTGTGAAATGCACAAAAACGCCCCTATCTAGAGCCAGTGTTTGGTTTGTCCCTTCTGGGCTACTATAGAAACATGGCAGACACCATGAAAGGCGAACTGCAATGTCTGTAGATATAAAACGCTCATTATACAATAACAAGAAACATCATGATTCCTATTTTCGGGTGATTTCACAAAATATACATATGATTATACATTTCTGCAAATAGATCTTCTTAAATGTTATACACTGGCAAAAAATGCCGGTATTTGCATTGTGTGTGTCTATGTGCAGACACAATCAGAGAAAGAAATAACCAGTATGGTAAAGCTTAAAGAGTCAGCTTGTTTCAGACAGAGGATGATCTGAGGGGCTGCATGAATGGCTAGTATAAGATAAATAAGGATGTTTTTGAAGTGCTACTCTAGTGCAGTCTCAGACTAAGAATATAGAGCTGGAAATGAGCATAATAGTTCCTATTTAAGCTGAATATCAATTCGCAGTTTGTGTCAGCTTTAGTGGTCAGTCAGTTTTCAAGGCTATATAACTCAACCTTTAACTGTACAAAGAGAATCAGTTGCAAAAGTAGATTATGTAATATTGTGTGGGGAAAAGTCTACAGTCGTGACAGCATGCCATCAAATATTGTGCAGCAATGTGAGGCGTAAACTGCGATGCTATGCAACATTTTGGCGAGCCTATTGTTGGCACGTACAGACTAGCTTTCTATCACTGATAAGTGGTTTTGTCCTTGGGGGAATGATGCACCTTACAGCTGGCCCAAGCAAGGTCAAACCTCTCACTGTGTCCGTCCTTTACTCCCAGAAGTGCTTCTGCGGTAGTCGTGGCATTTAGAGGGCAAGGTATGCACAAGATAATTACCTTACTGCACCTATTTAAGTCTGCAGTAAACAAGAGATTGGTGCAGAAATGAAAAGAGAGAGCCGACATGGAAAATGATGAAATGAAATGCAACTGTCAGGTTCACAGGCGTGTGTGTGTGTGTGTGTGTGTGTGCTGGGGGTGGGGGAACTGGGACAAGAGGGAGTGCTGTTATGTCTCTCGATGCGCCAATCACTGCTTAAAGATGCAAATATATTCAGCTGCTGACTGACAGCTCACCGTGTCATACGCTGTGAGACCTTCCGCTGAACATGTTTCTCCCTGTGTGTTTTTTTTTCTGTCTGTCTGTCTATCCGTCTCCCAATTTCTATCTCCAACTCTTTCTGGGGAGCAAAGCAGCTTGTGTTGGCCAAGCACTCGGAGTGAAAATAGAAGCAATCATTTATTCATCGATTGAAACATCAGAGGACTAAGAGGCAGTGAGGGAGTGGGAGCAACAAAGAGCGGGAAAGATAGACTGGCTGGAGGATAAGGGAGGGGGAAAAAAGGGTGGTGGGGGTAAGTGAAATGGAGTGGAGAACAAAGCAGGAGAGAAAATTGTTGATGAGTGAACAAAAAAAAGACAGTTTTGCCTTAAGAAGAAGACATCACAACAAACAAATAAAAGAAATGTCAAGTAGTGAAGAAACACAAACGAGGGTTATTCCAGTTGTAACACTGTCAGAAAATTACAGATAAAACCTTTGTAATTTAAAAGAAATGTTAAGCAACGAATAAAACCTTTTGATATCTAGTGATTAGTATCAAATGCTGCCATGCAATTTTAAAAGGTTAAAGTGAGCCAATATAACTTCTACGGAAGGTTGCTAACATAAGCCACAAAAAGCTACAGTACACCAAGCTTACTTGCTTATGAATTAAAACTTTTCGTTAGTACGAGAAATATATTTTTCATTGAAAAGGTGCTTAGCCTTAGCTAAAAGCTAAATACTCTTTTCCCGCAAACTCAACAAAGAGACAGAAAGTCCGCTCTGTGCAATCATAAAGCCAAAAGGCAGGGAAAAAAGAGCATTAGTTACAACAGTCATGCACTAAGTGTGCCGTCACATGGCAGCTTGTAGCTTTTAAGGCAACAATCCAAGCATTAGATTTCTCTGTTTTATTGACACGAATCATTAACTATCTCATCTCAGATACAACACATGTCCAGCAAAGCGCAAAAAGAGTGAAAAGCTTTTGCCCTCGGCAAGGGTATACATTTAAACAGCATTATCCTTCACTAGCAGTGGGGGGGAAACATGACATGAGACAGGATTATCCTCTAAAAGAAAACTCTCCCTACTACAGGCGCATGATGTGAATTGATGATAGGAGGACCAGGTTCCCAGGATACAATACTTGATACATTCTGTTATTATTTTTTTTTTCTTCTTCAGAGAGATGTGAGCTAGATAGATTCCTCCCACGCAGTCCAAATAAACAAATACAGAGAGGCAGAACCGGTGCCAACAGTTACAGTGATACAAGAACATTTGAAAAATAAAATGATTGCAAAGAAACAGAAATAAACAAAACATGAACTAAATACAAAGAAGCAGGAAAAAAGTTAATAATTATTGCAAATCCTCAAATCCCAAAGGTATTCTACCTCATTCCCCCTCCCTCCCTCCTTTTTTTTTTTAATAGTATCATACAGCAAAAGACATTCAGAAGAGCAGACCGGAGTGATAGAAAACACTCATGCAAAGAAAGCCTTTTTCACACATAGTCACTAACACAGGAAAATCATCTCAAAAAACAGCGCTGTCAACAGTCAGTGCCTTCAGGTCTTTTAGTGGATGTTGTTATTGTTGTTTGCTGTTTCTCTACAGACTTTTGATTTGCTACTGTACTTGATAAAAACAATATGACAGACGTCACCCATTAGGCTATCAAGTCTTCTGACAAGATTGACCCCCCACCTCTCTGTCTGTCCATGGGACCTGGGGATCCAACAGTTTATTACCAACAGTCTTCGTTTTCAGGACCCCCATTGACCAAAAGAAAAGTTCAGCTGGGAGGGTTTCTGCAGAAGAACCGGAGCCACAGGAATGAGCTTAGGTTGATATTCCATCATATTAAAAAAAAAGGCGTGATGTTTTTTTTTTGGCATCTGTTCTTGTTCTTTTAAATCTTATATATTAGTCTACTTTTACAATCATTTTCTATGCGGCAAACAATTAAAGAGTTTCATTCCAAAATAAAACACCTCTAACAAAAAGATGGCAGCTATTAAAATAAAGTCTACTATGGGAAACTATTAAAGTTAGAAGTCATATTAAGACCTTTATTTACAAAACAGTTCTGTTTTTCTAACAATCATCTGTGAGTTTGTGATATTAATTGATAAATTAATTTTTTCTATAACAAATATATCACATTTTGGAATGAAACCCTTCAATTTTAGATTTTTTTCAGTCTCATGTATATGCACATTCAATCCACTTTGCATTCACTGTTGATGCAGTCTCTCAGTAAAAGTTATTTGATATTATAAATAGAATGGTCTTGCCATAGAGTCTTTTTCTTTCGTAGATATATTTTTGTATATAGGGAGATCTCTACACAGACAATATGTATTTATGTATGTAATCCATTTTCCGTAGTTACAGTTCTTCTGAGCGGATAACGTGGAACAATGTGACATTGTAGAGGACCTGGTGGCCATTGTTCCAGGCATAGAGGGCGCGGTCACGTGGGTTGTAGTCCAGCATGGAGATATGTGAGTACTTATTCTGGAAGGCAATGTCAATGTACTCGTAAGTAGAAGAGTTGGTGGAGTAAGCGTAGTAGACCTTGGTGCCTCCTGAGTAGCCGTTGGTGACGTAGAGCGTACCACAGATCATAAAAGACTCGCCGGCACTCCTTTTGGGGTGGTTGGTGGTCCAGCTCTTGATGATCTGCAGCGTGTTGGGGTTCAGCTTGCTGATGACAATGTTGCCGGCGTTCTGGTTAGTAGCATAGACAGCCCACAAGCCTCCCTCATCCACCATCAGGTCAATGTCGGAATGGCCACCCCAGGCGTAGTGATACGCATTATTGAAGCCGGCGTAGTCAAGCTGCCGGGACTTGCTGATTGAAGAAGTGCGGAAGTCGAACTTGATAATGACGTGGCTCTGGAACTTGTTGAAGTAGATAGAGCCGTTGTAGACCACCTGACCAGTTCCTGACCACGGGTGGGGCAGCCGGTGGGACGTAAAGTTGTCCGACGTCATAAAGTCCTGCATCGACCTGTACTCCCGCACGAAGCGGTTGTTGTGATAACCATCCATGTACCAGACCTAAACATGATGACAAGAGGGAGAAAGAGGAATTGGGATTTAACACAGCAGTACTTTAGAGATAGAAACCTCTATCATCATCATTCGTCAGCATGCTATCAGAATCTTCTATGCAGATCACACACCGATTAAATCAAATCACACTGTCAACAAGCATCCCAATTAAGTTAGTGCCGAGACTTCCTCCAGGAGCAGACAAAGCTGAGATCCGGCAGCTTCTGAATACAAACAGTCAGAATGACAGCCGCGGGGTGGCACGAGCTCGGCCCCGCGGGGATGAGGCCCGTCATTCCAGATAAAAGGCCTGTCTCAGCTGCTTCGGCCCTGCTTCCTGCTGGCCCCTGCGGTGGTGGGCAGAGAGCTCTTATTCCGGAGCTGCTAGAGGCTCAAACACTTCTTTAGTCTCAGTGGGGCCGATACACCTGAAGCCCTTCCCCTACCAGCTTCCATGTGCTGCTGTGATTGACTTAAAAAGTGATTCACATCAAGGAAGCAGGTCTCCAAGGGCCCCCCAAAAAACAACATAAGGAAACTGAGAGATAAAAAGAAATGGAGCAGACCTGTCTGCTCCCGTCAATTACACTCATTCTTATTTTTCTGCCCTTTGAAAACGCAGCACATCTTTCATGTGTTCTGTTCAAAATGTATTAGTTTCTACACAAAAAGTAGCCTTTACAGTATTTTAAATATAATCTTAGTCAGCAGTAAGCTTCGCCCTTGCTGCTGAGAATCTAAAATATACACATTATACAGCCTCTGTTGTCACAACGATTAGCCTTCAGGAAGCAAACTGCAAATTTACACAGCTACTGTAGTGTACTGTATGCTGAAGTTCCTCTCAAGTTTTTATCCCTTTTCTTCCCATGTGACATTGAGAGTTCTGTCTCCTATTAATGTGTCTCATAAAGCTGCTGCACAAAGAGCATGTTCATCCTTAGCCGACAAATAAACATTCTTTATTCCCAGCTCCCTCCCTTGATGCTTGTCCGCTGGGCAGCTTCCCGTTAAAACCATATAGATTTATCCTTGGCCTTTCATTTTAATGTGTTTTAGTAATGAAAGCAAACCCATTTATTGAGCCAACAGACGTCCACTCTGCAAAGGGAAATCAGACGCAATCAGCTGATAAAAGGACAGTGACCAATTAACCGACTGTTATTATATTTCACAGCGAGAGTTGACCTTCAAATACAGTACGATCAAGGTAAACTCTTTCTTTAGATTTAGGAAAACTATTTGTGTTGCAGATCTTTAGGTACTTGTCTCTTGAACAAAGAGATAAGAGACCAATAAAAGTTTCCAGCCAGTGTGATTGCATTCATTTTCTTGCCCCAAAGTGTGCATGTTAAATACTTTGGGGCTGCAACTAACATTTATTTTAATTAATGACTAATCTGCCTATTATCACGATTTCCCAAGCCCAGGATGATGTATTGAAATTGCTTGTGTTGTTTGACCGACAGTTTCAAACCCAATGAAATTCAGTTTGCTATCATACTGTAGACTTAGAAAATCATAAACTATTCACATGGAAGAAGGTGAAACCAGTGCATTTTTGCTTAAAACATTACGTTTAAATGTTAAAAAATCAACTCATCATTTAAGCTGTGTTTGTTTTTTTATGTGTGACATGGACAGTGAAAACAATGTAAGGATTATGAATTACATTGTTTTATGTGACGATTTCTATATTTCAAATTATGATGAGTGCGTAACGTAACACTGAAATGTGCTGGGAATAAAAAAGTAAATATGTCCACAGCTTTCATTTGAGCAGGCACCAACTAAATTTAAATTAGGAGATGGAAAGCACAGCCAAATATGGAGGGTTACAGTACAGCAAACTGAACTGCTATTTGGGGTTTTATGAAAGTTAAAAGCTATGTAGAAACACTTAAGGATAATATAATTCAAAATATCAACTGAAACAAGCTTATATATATAGCTACAATCTGGTAATGTAATACTCCAAACTGAATATTACAGTATTGTAAAACTTGGAGGATCATATAACTAGTTTAAACGGCACTTAATGCATTGATTTTTTGGGGGCCACTTGGAGCAACATTGGCAAATATCTCACCATAAAAAGTACATTAGTATTTATTTGGAATGATGTTTCTGGACACCTGATTAAAGTTCACTCTCCTTCTACCTGTAGCTCAGATCTAGTCTCCTGAAGGAAATATTTGTCTCTTTAGCCTCTAAATGCTCCACTATGTTCACCAGCTGTTTGCTAACTTTGTCTGCTGTTCGGTGCAGGGTAGGTAGTGTGGCCCACCACAAAACAGCACTATCAGCTGCTCCTTACAGCTGAAAGGAACTTCAGAGAGGGTTTGTCACTGTAAGCAACACATGGTTATTCGATCTACCACAAATAGATTGATTGTGGCTTCAAGAATAAGACCAGTGCCGATACGATACGATACCTAAGATTAAGTACAACACAACTATTTTTGTACCTTATTAGGAAAAAAATTACATGTTTTTCTACAAAAGCTCTTTCATTTAGCAATTTATCAACTTCCCCTGAATAAAATAAAAGACTCAAATTGACTCAATTATAATTTGAGTCATAAAATGATCAAAGAATAACTACAAATCTGAGCAAGAATTTTCAGCTGATGGTAATGACAGTTTGTGCAACAGACACATTTTGGTTTGATACCCATCTGTGAATTCAATATTATATTCCCATCAGTACTGTGTGACAGCCGTACATACCCGTGTATCTCCTTCAGGCGCCAGGGGGTCAGTCATCCAGGAGCCAAACCTGGATCCAGACGTCTTGATGGTGATGGGATCACTGATGCCCGTCAGTTTGCCACATGCTGCAAGGAAAGAAGCGAGATAGGAACATCTAGAGCAACACCCATTTGGGTATTTAGTCTAATTCAAAATCTTTTACAAGGTATTCGGTTTCATTTGCTTGAAATCCAAATGGATGAGGGAGTTGATGTCCAGCTTGTTGCTGTGTCTCTGCCTTTCTCTTTGCGCAATGTACTGTGTAAGAGGTGCTTATTATTCAGTTCACACATGCTAATGCCTGTTTTACTCTCTCTGTGTGGATGTGTGAGAAAGTGAGAGGAAGAGGGAATAGGAAAGGGAGAGCCTCTGTGTATTCTGCTCCTGTGTGCTGCTTGTAAGCCGCTGTAGTGTTAATTAGTGTTGATTGAGGTGTTAATGCGAATTTGACAAAACTATCACTGGGCTCTGTGGCCCTCGTGACTGAGAGCTGGCCAGACTAATGTATCCTCTCTGATGAGCACAGACAGAAATGAGAGACAACGATTTTAGCCAAGAACAACACTTCTCAACACTGCTGCAGCGCACCCATTTATTTAGACACAGGCCGTTTCTTCAGACGATGATTTTTCGGCAAGACAAAGGTTAATTAGATGAGTCAATTTTATCTCATGAATGTAATGAGTCGTTCTGAAATGCTAATTTAAATAGTGGGACTGTGACGATGGCTCATTTTAAGTTTTCATTAGCATCCTTCTCCATGAAGTGTTGCATCCATTAACCCCTCACTCTAACACTCATCATACCTCTTTCTTTTAAACCCCTATCATCTCCCTCGCTCTCCGTTGTTGTGAAATGTCATTTTAATTTGTCATACAATCCAGATTTGATTTTCCTTTCCTCCGCTAACCTCGTTCAGCTATCTGCCTTCTCATCTGGTCAAATTTCTTTCACTTACATAATGAAAATTGTGGGTTTGCATATGTGTTTGTGTGTCTCTATGTGCAACATATGTCGTGCCTGTGAGTATGTGTGGGCATCACACCTCAGAGGCGGCCGAGAGACAAACAAATGGTCACATGAGCAGCATCTACTATTGCCAGTGGGGGTTGAGTCCCTTACGTAACCCACAGTAGGATTAGAGGCCACTGTAATACATTGGGCATTGATTTATTTATTTCTTTTCTCTAATCATGCCTCTATCTTTAGATGACACTACTATTACAGGGAGCCCGCTGATGGATCTGCATTCTGGAGATGCACACAGGGTCTAATCCCCTTTTGGCCTGAATTTGCCTGGGCCGAAGCAGAGGGGCAGAGCAAATGGAAAACCTAATGGGAACTGGAGCTGATATAAAAAAAAACCACCATCAGCTTTTTGATGTGAGGATTTAGATATAGAATGAAAATTCATTTCCGCAGGAGGAGTATTGATTTTGAAAGGATATTTTCAACACAGGTCTTATTTTTGTAGTTTTGGCTATAACTTGTATTGGTTATGATAACACTCTACTCACCAAAGTAATTGGTGAGATCTGGGAACATTGCAATGATTAATCTGCTCATCATTTTCATCTTCAAATACACTTTAAAATGTCTCAGTTTGTCTGACCATGATGTCTAAAACCCAAAGAAGAGCATCAAGACCTCACATCTGAGAAGCTGGAACCAGCGAACTTTTTTCTTTTAGCTTAATTTGCCAATTCATTTCCTGACAATCAGCTAATTGATTAATCGGCTAATTGGTTGAGCTCTGTTAAAGTCATCACTCACTGCACAGACGAACTGTGCAAACAACTGTGGCAAGTATAATAGGTCAAAGTTGAACCAGGACATCGATCTGTAAACTGTAGCGGATGTTTACAACTGACAGCTTGTTTCTCCGCCAAATAAGTTTGCCCAGCCAGCAGTTTTGTATTGCTCGTATTGCTGGTTTGAAGTGGGTGGGGCCCATTTGGAAATAGGTGATGTCACATACTTCTTTGCACCAATTATTTATTATATTTAGTAACATTTGAATTATTCTGATGGCCATTGTTGAGCAAATTAGTCACCACACCCACACAGTATTGAAGAAGCATAAATACCTACAGCTGTTTTTTAAACTCACTATTAGCTTATTGAGCTATTCATTTAATTAACGTTATAGAGTAATATTCAAACCTGGCTTTAAAACGACAGCCAGAAAAAAAGTTAATAGACCCATTGTTCTTTAATAGAGATGAGGGAGAGGGAAAACTCACAAAAAGACACAGTGAGGTTGTTTGTAAAGAGAGAACTATTGATTCTGTGCCATGTGAACCTTGCTATAACATTATGCCCTGTAATTCTATTCTCTAGGAAATGAAAGGTGAGAACAATGGTTGCAGAGCAGGTAGCAGAAGGGTTTATGTGCTGGTATGACTTTCCTGCTCCATTCATCAGCATTTCAGTGCGAAGGAGCTGGATTTGCCTGAAGCTCCTTGTGCCTCCACATTGCCGGGGCACGACACATGGTGATTTATTTATTTGATTATTGCCCAGCAAGCTGGCATGTCCCCTTGATCGATGGCCATTGTGTCCCAGCAGCCACCGGGCTGTTAGTCTCTCCGGCACAAAGCAGCTTGAAGGACAGCTCTGCAGGGACCCTAGTTACTCTCTCTCACTTTTCCCGCTCGCCTTCACTTTATCACTTTTTCTCCTTCCCCCTTACCACCTTCTATCAATTTCTCCCGTCGCTCTGTCTATTACTCAATACTCAAATTTCTCCAGCCCTCTCTTATTTTTCTCTTTCCCCTCCCCCTGTTGTTGATCTGCTGATGCAAATTTGGCAAGTGACCTTCACAAGTTTAATCTCAATAACGGGAGTGTGCTGGGGTGTATTTGTGTGCACTATGCTTGAGTGCCTCTGCGTTCGTGTGAAGATGAAAGGAGTAGCCACCCTCTGTTCTTTCCTGAGCCAGTCCCTCGCTGGCTGACCTCTCCTTTATCTGGTGTGATCTCGCACACACCGGAGTAACTCCCGCAGTTCCCTGCTTTCCTAAGTCTGACCGCTGATGTGAGGAGCGATGATGTGCATTGAGTGAAAATATGGCCAAGACTCCTGCTCCAGTATGGAAGGTGAAAGCAGAGGTAGTCAGTAAAAACCTGTATGCACCGATAAAGAAAACTACAGACAGAAGACGGAACCGGGTAGCTGAGATTGATTGTCTACTTTTGTACTCTATATATTCAATTTAAATCCAATCACTGTGTCTGGACTAGCTTTTCAAAAAGAACAGTAGGCATTGTAACCAAAAGCTTTTCTTTCTGTCATCTTGCGCTGTTAATAATTTGAAACAGGGACACAATATTCCTGAGATGTGCGGCATGTAAGTGTCTTTGCTCTTGTATCTTAGTCACTGTGGTGTGGGTGTGCATCTATTAGCACTGCGGTCTGTGACAGAGGTGTGAAGAGACAGAGACAGGGGCTAAAAGCAAAGATAAGCCTGTGATAGGAACTTGCAAGCTGAGAACGCTGTCAATGGCTCTCTTCCTCTGTATGCTATACATTGGTGTGTTAGTGTGTGTACCTGTGGAGCCATATTTAACACCTAATCATGTATTTCATTACAGGAAGCCAGCTTTGTGGGATGCTACCATAGATTCCAGAATTCTAAAACTTAAAAGGTGGGCCGTGTAGGAATGCCAATAATGATTATTTTCCTCATCGATTCATCTTTCGACTAATTATTTGTTCTATAAATTCTCATAAAATAGTGATAGTTTGTTTTGTATGATAAACAGCACAAAATCCCAGTCAATTTACAATCACATAAAACAGAGAAAAGCAGCACATCCTTAAATTTAAGGGGCGGCAACCCAGCCTTTTGATTTATAAATGACTTGAATGATTTAATCAATTATGAAACAGGTTTTTTCGTCAATCGACCAATGGTTTCAGCACTAGTGCTTTGTTTGTTTGTAGGAAAAAGTACAGAAGATGTGTAACTCCAGTTCTATGAGTGCATGCATAGCCATCTAATGGACTTCTTAATTGGTTTATCTCAACAATAAGAGTATACCAATGGCAAAGTCAGTTAGAGGGCAAGCACGTTCAATTTGGAAACCATAAAGTGTAAATGACAAGTGTGTTATAAGACTGTAATATGCATTTGACTGGTAGAGTATCGCAACAACACATAATGTTCCTGTGATGTTCTGAATCATGTGAATATGCCTGAGGATCTCTTTCTGGTCAGTCACAACATACTGTACGTCAGTGGGAGTGTTTGTGCATGCACGTGTTTGAAGCAAAGTGTGTGCCAACAACTTTCTGTGCCTACCTAATTTTTGCATGCATGCTCGGAGTCTCTCCTCAAGATTTGACACTCTGTTGTGGAGCTCCTCGTAGTCATAGGCCCCCATCTCCTCCTGAAGTTCGTTTAGAACTGACGTCAGATTCTGGACCTCCTCCTTAAACTGCAATACCAATTTGGCATCGGCTTTGTACTCCTCCAACACTGGTATCAACGGTCTAAGCTCCTCCATTTTCGCTTTTATGGCCTGAAAGGATTAGAATAAGCTCGGTTGAGTGTCATGCGCGACAAAAGGAGACTGTCCATAAAAGAAAAAGAAAAGGGGAAAAAAAACAAAACACCTGTCTGAACCTGACTACTCTGACTCTAGCCTGCCTCTCCACTGACATGATGACCCCCTGTTTGTGTCCATGTTCAGTGTTTGTGTGTGAACAGCTGTGTTTTTTGTCTGTGCAGGTGTGTGTCTGAGCAAACAAACCCGGAGCAATATTCTCCACCCGCTGGACGAGCAGAGCAGGTGGCTCCGTCCCCTGGCAGTGACCAGCCGTTAAAAAGCAAGCCCTCGGTACACCGACAACAATTGGGAAAGCTCTTTATTGGTCATCATCGTTTAAAATGCAACATCGTATTAAGGGTTACATGCTTTTACATGTCACACACAACAAAGTGTCTCGAATTTTACGTCTATAGTTTTACGTATAGATTTGTTTAGTAACCAAATATGCATAGACAAAAGCCAAAAGAAAATAAAATGAATAACAGCAATTGATAATAATAAAAATAATAATAATAATAATAATAGTAATAATAGTAATAATAATAAATGTATTTACGTTTGAAAAAAGCTTTTAGATGGAAAACTTTGACAGCAGTAACATGCAGGAAGAGATCAGTGGTGGGTTGGTTTGGGAGAGGGGTGGGGTTTCTTAGTCTTAATGGTGCTAAAGGTAAAATAACTGTTTGACGCCCAAATGCTCTCAGTACTGTGGCCCAGTTCAGGGGAATCTGGAATTGACCTGCCTCTTCTTCCCTGTGGCTCTCTTTACATGTCTTAAAGTTAGCCCTGCAAGCAAGAAAATGACAAACTGTTGACAGGGGCTAGATCTTGCTAACCTATCTAACAGACACACAAACAAACGCACACACACTTAGTATATATGCACTTAAGACATGTTACAAAAAATTGCACACATGCACTGAATGGGGCGTTGGATGCATGAGGTTTGTGAGCATGCACGGATGATGGGATCACACAACTGTGCTGGTGCAGGTAAGATGATACAAGCAATGAAGCTGCTTTTGATTCAGAGTGCTGAAGATAAGAATTCTAACTGAAGCAATGCACTTGTGGAACTAGCTGCAAATAGGGCTAGCTATCGACCCTCAAAATTATTTTGGTGCCATCTGACCAGCAAAAACTTTGAAGTACTTAAAGGTGGCATCAAATGTCAAATTCATAATCTTGGTTTCTTATCCTTTGATTGTGGAAGTTCTTCTATGGCTGCTTGTGCTTAGACAACATTTAGCATTTGTTAAATGGAGATCTGGGACAATTAAGTCAATTAAACGATTAGCAAAGTAACTGACAACTATTTGGATAATTGGTTAATCGTTTAAGTCACTTTTAAAGCAAAAATGCTCGTAATTCCTCAATCCCAGCTTCTTAATTGTGGAAATGTGCTGCTTTTCTGTCGTGGACTTCAAATTGGGAATTTTAACAATCTTTTCACTATTGATCAATGAACTGAGAGAGTCGTTTACATATGAATTGATAGTGTTAATAATTGTTATTTGCAGTCCTAGTTAGATAAAAAACACTTTATAGAGAAAAAACTTTTGGTATAGAAACAAATATACCAGCACTAGTTTCAAAACATTCCAAATGATACCCTATCATACCTGCAAGATATTTATTCAACATAGCTTTCTTTATTTTGATTGGACAGTAAACCCTTTAGGAAAAAGGGTTTAGTGTCTGCTCTTTAATCAGATTAGATTAAAGATGTGTGTCCCATGTGCAGATAGCTTGGTGTTCATTGTGCCACTCTTCGTGATCAACATAAAATGCTTTATCAAATCTCCTTATTTCCGAATTGATTTAGGATTCCATCACATGGTTTTCGAAAGGGAGCTTATGTGAAATAGGGAAATGAATTCTTGCGGTTTATGTATCCAATTATTCTGCCTGTTTGATTATGCATGCAGTATGGATTTCTGGGTATGTGGTAAGTTGTTTTTGGCAATGGGAACACACAAACACAAAATGGGTAAGGCTGTGTCATGTATCATGGGCTACAGAGCAGCTGTGATAGAATGGCAGTTGGGTCAATGGCTCGAGACCTGGTTCCATACCTTGTATTGCTTGGCGATGTTCTGCTTGTGGTTCTCCTCCACCTGCCTGAACTTGGTCTCCAGGCCGCGGAGCTGGACCTCCATCTTCTCCACGTACTGCAGGTCCCTCTGGGTTCGCTGGTCCAGCACCTGGATGGACTGGGTCATGTTCTGGACCTGAGGGGACATACGGGTACATTGGACTGAGTAATGAAATACATCTCTATTTCTAATGGTCTAATTAGAGCAATGAGCATGAGAAAACGCAACAGACTTTCAATATGTTGCTTTGGCTTGGCATTCCTCTTGCAGTGATTCACAAACTCTGACATCAGGCCAACTAGTCAGGGCCTCAGACACATGGTGGAAGTGTAGAATACATACTGTTAAGACATTTGTTTTCTCCAAAACTGTTTTGCTCCAGAAACTCCATAAACCTGGCACATTATCTATTCATTCATTGGAGATCTGTTGAAGTCTGTATTTTTTGCCAGTTTATGTGAATCAGCGAGCTACTCCACATTAGTTGGTGGTTATCTCCATCTTTGGGTAGAAGGTATTTGGTCATAAAATGTGCTTAAATGTTCCTTTTGTGACCGGTCTATGGGTATTGAGCCGGGTTGCATCATTAGACGTGTTGCTTTGGATGCGTGCAGTAGAATAGAAACTCACAGTGAGTGAGTGTATAGCTGCCTCCCATGATACCTGTTGGGTCTCCAGGGAGCTCATTAGAGCATGATTCCTATTCTTGTCCAATGGGCAGAGAGGTGATTGGAAGACCACAAACATGGGTAAGTCTATGTGTGTGTGCGCACTTTCTGTGTTAAGTACTGTAGGTAAAAGCAGTAAAGGTAGTCACCATGGGCACTTAATGACTTTGACTGTTCGGTTCATCATGTGTTGCTGAGGAGTTAAGCGGTAATTACCTTCTCTAACAGCTGCCTCAGTTGTTTGGTGCGGGCGTCCCGTGAACACATGGACTGCTGGGGCGCCACCACAGTGCAGACACACCTTCCCTCACTATCCTGGGCTGAACTGTACACCTGCCACGATTCCTCTGGGTTTGCTGGCAACACCTGAGGATGAAGGAGTGGATAACGAGAGAAGAAGGGGCAGTTGAACAGCAGTGCTGGAGGAGAGCGGAGCAAGGAAAAACATCTCAGACAAAAACAGAAAGACACAGAAGGTGGACATGTTACCATAAAAACACCTCATTGTGGGACATGATGGAGGAGGACACATTGCTCCTAAGTGTATTGTGCATGCTTGATGCTAACGCTGTATTGAATTCATTACCACCACAAACCACCAGGCTCCACCCGTTTTGCAGCATCAGAGAGGATATCTTACAGCCACACAAAGGAAAGATGCAGCCAATGAAGACAGCTGAAGCTACTGGCATTATCCAGTGGGTTGGGTGTGTGAACGTTGTAAAAGTGTGTAAAGTGTGACGTGTATGACGTCAGAAAGAGGGTTTTTTTCCCCCCCAAGAAAGACAACTCCAGTTACTAACCTGCTGATCAGATAAAACTGAGAGTGACTTTGAGAAAAAGATATTCATCATCACTGCATCAGCAATAAAAAAAAACAAAAAACACTGCTGATTTATTCAATTAGTGAGGAGTGTGTCCAAAAAATCCAAAAAGAGCAGTCACAGCAACTGTCAGTCTGCTGCTTTCTGTGCTGACAAGACAAAGAAAATCACTATCAAGCAGCTGTCTTGTGCACTCAGTCTGTACTATTATAGCTCACCAGATAAAATCTCACAAGTGACATAAAAATGCCGGACTCTCCTCAAAGCCATTAAATAATCATATCTCATTCAAAATTACTGAGTCAATATCAGCTCACTGCATCCTCTGCTTTTACTATTTATTTATTTATTTGCCTTCAACATCCTTTGTTCTGGATTTCAGTGCAAACATCCACTTGACAGAGCGCTCGCAATGTTAATCCTCGCACATAAACAGCTCCGAATCTGCCAGGAGCCCGACAGAGGAACAAAGAAACGCTTCATCTTGACTCTATCTCATTCACACGGACGGTGAAAGGAAGAATGAGGACTCCCGCTGTTTCAGAGGAGGCACACAAAAAAAAAAAAACAGAGAAAAGATTGCCTTGAAATTTGTCATGCCAACCACCTAATTTGCCACCATGGATCTCTTACTTATATCAAAACCAGAAGAAAAGAACCAACCGATAACTTTCCACTTAGTGCAGGCAACTCATACTGACAGAGACAGCAGCCCTCGGCAGCTGGAGCAACATCAGAACGCAGGAGGAACGTATCTATGATGCCTCTCCAAGTATCTTTTTTTACTTTTGCATGCGCCTTGCAAGCGCATCACGTTGCCGGAATTTCTCCTCTTAATTATGAACCATAAGTGTACATGTGTTGCTGATCTTTGGATTGTGATTAAAGTGCAAGCAGCCGATTCACTCATTCATTCAGAGAGAAAGCCAACCAGCCGCAGGAAATATGCGAAACTTGCGCACTTACTCCGGTGCTCCGGTCTGGGTACCCTCCCTGCGCCGCCGTGAGCTTGGTAGTATTGAGCCCCACCAGAGAGGGGAGGGTCTGCGACATCCAGTTGGTGATCATCGCCATGGTGCTGAGCACGACGCCGATCTTTAGCAAAGGCACCGACATCTTTGCGCTTTGCTCCGGACTTTATTTAAGCCGTCTTCATTCTACAGACTCCGGTGAGAAACAAGGGAGGCGAGTCATGTTGCCCAGAGAAGCTTGCTGTTTCACCCGGGACTCCGGCTCGGCTGGTCTTTTTTTGGACATCTCCAACGAAGCACTGGCGGCGAACGAGTCGGACGCGAGAGAGAGAGAAGACAACCGAAACGGGACGGAGATTTTAAAAAATAAAATAAAACCTGCAACACTTGATCCAGTGGAGGAGGAAGACGAGGAACAACCGAGAGCGGCTGCTGAAAAAACGTCCTGTGGATAGCTCCTCTCCCTGCGTTGTCCCGCACACTGCTGCCTCTCCGGTGCACCGTTACTATTTCGTTCACGCCCGACGGTCCGCCTCCTGCCTTGGTGCGCTCTGTGATTAAGTGCCACTGACTGCACACACACAGGCTGCTCCAAATGGATGAGAGGAGGAAGGAGGAGGTACTACGGATCTATCTATATCACCAGACGCAATGATGTCAGCCAGGTTGGGGTCCGTTCGTGGTAAAATCTGGGATTGCGCCTGATTCAGCCCTTAGCTGCCCGACACTAGGCTGCCCCCAGAGGGAATGACAATGAGCAGTGCGGCTGAGGTCGGCTGACACTGGTGCTGAGGGATTATTTAAAACGGACAGTGACATTTCTTTCTCCACTGCCCCAAAAGGACAGGAGTCTCATTCATAGTGGACCGTGCATGGTAAAGCTGGCCTTTCATTTAACTATTAACAACCAGTGTAATGTATGGCTACACAGCCCACATGTCTAAACGAACACACTTTAGCAGAATGTCGCATTTCAGTGAGAGTCGGGCGTTAAGGACTCCGAATATGTTTTATTGAGGGGCTGCTGGAAGCCTTGAGCTCAAGCAGAGGATGCGCTTTCAATTCGTGGGACTCTGGCGCCATCGTGTAGCTGATTTTGGCGTTGCTGCAATCCAAATTGAAGGGCTTTTAATATGCATGGAAGCGGCACAAAACATTCAAAAACATATATAAATCTTCTTAAATCTAGAAAAAAAAAAGCTCAGTGTTAAAAAAACAACTCTTCCATTTGTATTGCCTTTACAAGATTAAATCCCATGTTTATGCACTGGATATATCAGTATTCGACACAAAAACAGTGTGGGTGCATTAACAAGTGCAGTTAAATGATGCCTATTTTTGTTCAGAATTAAATCTCTAAGGCTCTGGACAAATGCATTATTTGTCATGTCTAAGTCAACAACGGGCTTAGAGGCTAATGCTGCAGCCTATGGGCTAAATTGCAGCACTGCATGATACATGAGCTCCCTAGAATAGCAAGAGTGGCTCTACATCCACAGCTATTTCTGTCAGCTCCATAATGCATTTCTCTGGTAAACTGAAAGATGGAAGTGAGTGAAGTTTACACTCACTGCCCCTCCATATTTCTCTTATTTCTTTCCCCTCCCTCTTTTTGTCTCTCTTATCTCCCTCTCTTCTTTATGACCTTTGAAGTGAGAGCTCACAGGAGTGATGGCTCCACAGATTACTGCGAGAGTGTGGGCAGGGGTCAGCTCACCGCTGTGTACTTGCTGTCCACAGTCCAGTCTATAGTCTCGTGTAATACGGTGCAGTTCAGTGCAGCACAGCGGTCTCTAGTCTCTAATGACACAGCTTTAAAATGGATACAGTTAGTGTTCTAAGCTTCACAGGTGGAATCCAATCCAATTTGGTTTCAGTAGAGGTGAAACAAATGATCAAAAGTCAGTCTCATATAAAGCTCTCAGTATTTAATCCACCAGCCTGAGGAACTCCACAGGTGCACTGATAAAAGACGATTGACTCAGTGAAAAAATCAATTAGTCAATCAGTCTTCAGACAGTCAGACAATTTAAGTGATTTATCGTAACTGTGTAAATTAAAACCACAGTGTTGCATTGGCTGCAGAAGTATTGATGTATAATTCTGTATACAAGATCTCAAATGTGCAAAACACTTGCACAATAATCAGTTATGCAGTCTGATATAATAACCCTGCAGAAATAAGATGTGTAAGAGAGGTTTCTATCAAATTACAATTTTTTTGAGAATGTAGCCTGTGGTGTTTTTAGCTGTATAATATTGTAGCTATTCAAGTTATTTTCACTTTATAATACAGGACACACATTCTGATTTAGAGTGGGTGAAAGGTGTAGATGTGCCTGGAGGGACAAACAAGCAGGCACCTCTGACAATAACGCAATATAATAATAATCCTAAAAACACAACAAAGGGCAGCCTCAGAAATGACCAATAAACATAAGAAATAGAGCATAAAAAGCTTCATTGAAGCAGTATTTCTGGCTTGGCTATTGCACTGTACTGCATTACAGCGAACAGGTGTTTAGATTGTAGGAGAACCACATTGACACACTCAGTATCCAATGTAGTAAATGCTCATGAAGTAGTGAAAAATCCCATTTGCAGCCTGAGAGTGAATTACAAAATGCACCGTACCTCCACCTACTCCTCTTCTGCTCACTTTCTCTCTCTCCCCACCCTTGCTTCGTCACTCAACCAACCATACTGAATAATAAATAGCTTCAACCCCAGCTGCCAATCACACCACGCATATTGCAATTCAGCTCAACTCCATCTTCAGTTTCTCACATAAAACCAGATTGATTTTTTTGGGTGGGGGTTTATACATTAAAAACCCCTAACTGTTTCAAAATGTTCCCCTGCTGTGGACGTGTTGGCAAAGTAGATTTTGGTCTTTTCATGTGAATTAGATGATTTTTAATGTAAGAATTCACACATTCATTAAAAAAAAATTTAAATTGTCCATGCATACAAATCTAAAACCTGATCACGTGTGTGTTTTACAGTAATTAAGTAAATAAGCTATGGTATGTAGGTTGCCTGGTGTCAAAGGGGTGGCTATAGCAGTGCCATCTGTTCTGTCAGGTGTCTGTGAGATGCTTTAGGATGTGGGCCTGAAGCCATGGGGGAGCCACTAGGTGAGGAACAGATGCCGCTCTGGCTGCTTACTATTCTTCTCTGTGTGAACGCCAGGCAGTAGCCAAATCCTTCAGCGGAGGGGATAGAGAGGTGAATAAATGAGGGCGGAATGGAAGAGTAGAGTGAGCTACTAATCAGGTGTCTCCCTGCTCTCTCTCCAGATGTTAAGAAAATATGCGCCACACTGTCTGAAACTGCGTGAGACTTTTGAAGCAAGGTAGTTAATGCGGTCATTAAGGGAGCGTCATTGTCCAGCATCAAAGGTCGAGGGCATGCTGCCTGGATGGCCTTTTTTTCTCCTCACGGGTAACGTGGCATTAACAGACTCTCCATCTTTCTCTCTCTAGATACACCTCTCACTTTTTATATCTGAGATGTGGAGAGGCCTCTCCTCCCTACAGTGAAATGTACTGTAGGTTTCTATAGCAGGGGCAGTATAAATAGAGCCTGTCAGTGTATCTTGTGTTTCTGTTCTCCTGGAAGCGAGCAGACAGGCAAGTCTGTGGACTAATATCGACTTACCTTCAAACGGATGACACACACACAGGCCATCAGAGAAAAGACTGTCACTGTTAACGCTGGGCCCTGACCTGCGCCGCGCAGGACCCCGAACTGACTTGTCATGAAACCCAAAGTGAAACACGTTCCCTTTCCCTCTCTCCTCAGACTGATGGCTTCCATCAATCAGTGCAAATAGCCCCATTGTTCCATTGTGTCAGCATTTTTTTTCGCGCACTGCTGCTGCACTGCATGTCCAGTTCAGATTATAGCCTGCACATTTGATGCTCCGGTGTAGGGAGCTAAAAATTGTAATAACTGTATGTGTGTAAGGTTACAGCTTGGATCAAATTACAAATCAAACTCCATGTGAATGTCAAAAGCAAGCTGTTGCTCCATGAATAAAAAACGCCCCGCTCACAGCACACTGACATTTCTCATAAATTTGCGGAAATCAATTGCTGGCTTATTTCTGCCAAAGCGATATTACATCAATATTGTTCTAACACATTGGTTATCAGGGCCAGCAGGGTTCGCAGCAACCTACTTCCAACACATTTTATTGAGTTTGTCACTCAGAGTGCAGTATATTATAGATACACTGGGAACAGAGATTAATTTATTGATAGTACCTCAGCACATTTAAAAAAAAAAATCTCCTTTAGTCTCCAATTACCAACCACAATTGGATTCACACGACAGCGAAGCTCATGAAATATGTCTCTCTGCTCAAGCAAGGGCAATTAAACCATCAAATTGTTCAATCCAGTGGTGGCAGGGCCTGGGAAGAAATACATTCACTTCCTCACTCCCCCCCACCACCCCGCTCTGATACTGTTTGTAAGGATTTATAATGGCAACAGTTTAATGCAACACTAACTATTATATCTATTGCTGCAAATGGCCTTTTAGAGAGCAGGAAGTAATTACTAGTTCCACTAAAGAATCACAGGGATGCATTTTATTGACCAGTAATTTTGTTTACCACTCCTGAGCTGGGTGGCTTTAAAGCTGTTGGACTAAATGTTCTTTTCCCCCTCACGCACTCAAACAGTAAGTCACACTGTGGTCATTGAGCATGCTCAAAACACCTTCTTTGAGACACTGCATTTGATTGTGGAGCCGTGATTTAAGAGCACAATACAACAATGGCCTTTTTTGTTTGTTTGTTTTTAGAGAAAGCTACAGGCAACATATTGCATTAGAATAACGGTGCAGCTGAATTAATCTGACCATTTGCTAATGAGGAAATTGACAGATCATGCAATATATCCCCTTACATCTGGCCCGTTTGCGGTGGAGACGCTGAATAGGGCTCTCTGCTGGATCTATCCGCGCCCGTCAAGCACAATGTATTCACATCATGTAATCCCACCCGTTAATCTGTTTAAGCGGGGTAGAGGGCTAATTCACCGGGGCTCTTTATGCGAGGTAACCGGGTAATCTCTCAGCGGAATCTGATGCCAATTAACAGGCTGGTTCTAGCTTCTTTCTTCTTCTTTTTTTAAATACAAGAGATGGAAAATGGCGTTAAACAAAAAGGGAAGATACCAAAAAGAAAAAAGAAAACCTACTTGGGTGAGTTCTGTGCCCATGAAGATGAGGAGAATCAGAGTCAGGAGCTTGCTCGCAGGCTGCATCTCTTGCCTCCGGTGTGTGTGGACCAGCGGTCTCACATGCAGATCGAGTCCCTTTGCGTCCCCCCGCACAGCAGTCCTTTCCTCCCCGGCTCTCTTCGCTGGATTCTTTATTTTTTTATTATTACTATTATTATTTGATCCCTCAGCAACCCAGCAGCGGAAAGCTCTGTTTCACGGAATCGTCTCTGTGCATATTCAGTTCATATCGGGAGGCTATATCTTCGCTGCCTCTCCCCTTCGGTCTTCGTGGCCGCACTTATTTATCGCTGCGACGGACTGTGCTCAACATCGGGCTAAAGACGCGCAAACACTGTCGTATTACCCGGCTATAAAACCTTCACTCTGATATTGCCAAAAGTTTACCTCCCCGCCTCAAGCTGCCGTATTAAGCTCTCGATGGGAAAAAAATGAGAGTGACGGCGCTGTACATGGTTCTGAAAACGGAAGTTGCATCGCCGGGAGAGGGAGA